TAAAAAAAAATTACCTCATATTAATATAAAAAAATAAACACTAAGTCAATAGAGTGAATATCAACACGTAGCACATTTTTATTTTTATTGTATCATTTTGATGCTCAAGTTAAAAATTACTGTAAAAAATAAATACACAAAAAAAAGGAATAAAAACCGACAAAAGAAATAAATAAGGTTACGCAAATATATCACAAGAGTAGTCAAAAATACGACGTGAAAAGTACCATGCTACCAGGCAATTATTACCCCTCCGGTTTCTGGGAAACCCCCCAAACATTCGTTTATCTCGCCACGTGTACGGTTCAATACCTCCCATGACCCAATCACACCACCCCATCAAAAGGGCATTTCAGTAATTCCGCCTCACCATAGATTGGAAAAGAACACCCATTTCTCTGCTGCTTTTTAAGTGGACTTTTGGGGGGACACATTTTCAGAGAGAGAAATACAAAAAAAAACAGTGCTCGCCGGAGAGTCACACGTTCCGTTGTCTTCGCCGGTTGTTTGCCGGGCAACCGCAATGGGAAGTCTTCTTGACCCATCTGCGCAAGAGTTCAGACCGACATACTGCCTCGTCACTCCTGCTCCCATTCCCACCCAAATTCCGATCTTTAGGGCTTCACCTCCGCAGCTGTTTTATCCGTACCCCCCTCAAACAGTTGCGTTTGTTGATACCTCGGTTGGGTTCCCGCAGTATCCGGCTCCTGTGCTTCCGACTTATGTGGTGCAACAGCCGTCGTTACCTCCTCCGTCGACGGCGGCGACGCGTTCGCTGCTGCTGTCGTCGGTTCTAAGTGACGTGAGTGAGACGTTGGTGCGGAGGGAATTGGAGGTATTCGGGGAGGTGCGTGGGGTACAGATGGAGAGGGTTTTGGACGGGATCGTGACGGTTCATTTCTACGATCTGAGGGACGCGGAGAGGGCGTTGAAAGAGATTCGAGAGCAGCACATGCAGCAGCAGACCCGGCTGAAGAACCACTACATGAGTTTAACGACGTTGGGTCCTGGTGGTGAGAGCAACGCGTTCCCGCCACAACCTCCGCCGGCGCGTGGGCTCGTAGCTGGACGAGCCGTTTGGGCCCACTTTGTCGTTCCATCTTGTAATGCAGTCCCTAGCGGGAATAATCAAGGGACTGTTGTTGTTTTCAACTTGGACTCCGCCGTCTCCTCCTCGGAGCTGAAGGAAAACTTCCAGTCTTTTGGTAAACTTAAAAAATTTTCCTTACTTCTGGGGTCTATGCAGGGTTTTAGCTCAATTGAAAAATTAATGGAAGAGATCTGAAATTTTGTGGGGTTTGACCAAAATTTATGTACAGGTGCAATAAAGGAACTGAGGGAGACGCCGGGCAAGAAAAATCAGAGGTTCATAGAGTTTTACGACGTAAGAGACGCGGCAAAGGCCTTGAAAGAATTGAATGGAAAGGAAATTAATGGGAGACAGATTGTGATCGAGTTCAGTCGCCCTGGAGGCCACACTGGGAAGTTAATCAACAAAGCCGCCGTTACTGGCTCCGCCACAATCCATAGTAAAAACATCGTCACAAGTAGTCCGCGCCCAAGGCATCCAAGATACCTTCCTCCTCCGCCGCCACCTCCTGGCAAATTCTCCAGTCACTTGCCTTCCAATGTTTCCCCTGGTTCTTTTCTGTCCCAAAAACGGCCCTCCACAATTAAATCACCGAATCCAGGCACGCCTAATGGGAATAGCAGTAGATGTATTTCTGTAGAAGCTTCCATGGGCAAACTGTCGTTGAGTGGTGGCAGTGGCGACGAAATTGAAAAGAAAGCTGGCAATGGAATTCCCAAAAAGAGCGCCAAAAAGAACCATAATAGTCCGTCAACAGCCTCTAGTTCTAAGCAGCAGTATTCCCGAAATCGGCCGTGGAAGAGTAAACAGGTGAAAAGGTTCGACCCTCGTTTTCTCATAAGCCAAGATGTTATGATCGAGGCTGATAGCCGAGATTCCCGAACCACCGTCATGATCAAGAATATACCCAACAAATACAGGTTAATTTATTATTTATCTCTCCCTATTTTCATATTCTTCTTCCTTTATTTTTAAAATAATTTGGCGATTGATTCCTTGGTTTACATGATGCAGTCAAAAACTGCTCCTGAATATGTTGGATAATCATTGTATACATTGCAACGAGCAGATTTCCGACGGCGACGATCAGCCGTTGTCGGCCTATGATTTCGTTTATCTCCCCATTGATTTCAAGTGATTCTCTTCCTCTCCTTCATCTTTTTTTCTTTGTCAATTTAGAGGCACAATCTTGATTTTCGTAGATGTTAACAAGTTCATTTTCTTGTCGGAAACAAACAGTAACAAATGCAACGTGGGATATGGGTTTGTGAACATGACGTCGCCGGAGGCGACATGGAGACTGTACAAGGCGTTTCATCATCAGCACTGGGAGGTCTTTAACTCCAGAAAAATCTGTGAAGTTACATATGCTAGAGTTCAGGTACTTCTTTCTGCTGTTTCATTTTCGTTAAATTTGGTTCAACTTCTCACTTCATCAATTAATTAAAAACACAAATTATTTCTTGTTAATTGATTTAAAAAATAGGGAGTGGAAGCTTTGAAGGATCATTTCAAGGACTCAAAGTTTCCATGCGAGCTAGATCATTACTTGCCGGTGGTGTTTTCGCCACCTCGAGATGGGAAACAGTTGACGGAGCCTGTTCCTATTGTGGGTCCAAAGAAGGAAAAGAAGCAGCAGATCGTCTGCGACGACTCCTCCAAATCTACTATTGCTACTACTGATGATGAGGAAGACGATGTGACCGCCGGCAGTTCTGATTCACAACAACAAGCCAGTATTATTACCGATTCTGCCAATCATTCCACCTGCATCTCTGTCCCCGTTGACTAAAATGATGAGGAAGACGGCGGCGGCGGCATTCTTAGGCCGAGCGGTGGCGGCGGCGAAACATCATCATGGGGACAAAAGATAAATGTTGCAAGGTTTTTTTTTTTGAAAGTGGGTTCGTTCGTATGTGTGGATTTATTACTCATGAACGTAATAATGTAAAAAAGTTAGTTTACTAAGAGCCAAGGCAGGCAGTATCCATTCAGAGCCTTTCTGTTGTTGGTTTTTGCTGCAGCAACCAATGACTGAAACGGTGCGTATTGAGCTCCGAGCCAGGAGCTCATCTTCCATAGCTGCCGCAGACTGTTGCAGCCATCACATCTTCTACCTACAGCTGTATGCCTCTACCTTTTGCTTAATTTTCATTAGAAAAATTAATAATGAAGTTTCTCCTTTTTAACCTCTTGTTTATGTAGTTTGGACTCTTGGGTAACTATTTTGATTAATTAATTAATTAATATTTTTCCTAGGGCATCAATTTGTGTCTCTGAATTTTTTTGGAATATTTATAATATAATGAGCTTGAGGAGATTTAATTAATTGAATTATAATATATTAAAATATTATGATTTAATTAATAAAATTTAT